CACATCGAGAGTTAATGATTGCAATAGAAATGCAAAAATATTGTTATCTGTAACTGCCAACTACACCAATCCTGTGATGAAAACAATTAAGTTTCTGAGAAATATAGAGGCAAAACATAAGGATGACTCATATAAAGAAAGCTTGAAAGTATGTCTCATGTCCCTAGGTGAGATGAGTAAGGATCCCCTAACCCTAGGATGTTGCTCGACTCTGCTTATTTAAGCTTAGATAAATGTAAGACATTGGATGGTCATGTTACTCAGTGTGGGTTAACAAAGTATGAAACCATCTACTAAAGCCTTGACTCATGGCAATACTTGTAAAAATCAGCAGGCATATGTCTAATGGAGGTATTATATTTGAGTACCACAACATGCATTGAAAAGCCTTTTAACATCAGCAGTCTGCTTTTCAGACATGCTGAGTAACTGCAGCTCCTATAAAAATTGATGGGACTCACATGAAAGTAAAGCAGTGGTATCCTTCCAGCTCATTTACTTCTATATGTATGCTTACTATTGAGGACATGCATGCTTCCATCTGAAACTATGTTCACAGCAAATTTTAAATATGACTGAACAAACTGCCTCACACTTTCTGGAGTATTTAAAGGATAACAAGAGACAAGCAGCTTTACACTGCAAACATAACATGTTGCAGCATCTGAGAGCAGAGTCACAACAACTAACATGGCCAGTGGTCATCCCAGTTAAATGGTTACTGCTGTCAGTTTGCTCATTGCCTTTGCCAGAAGTTAATCCTTCCTTCCCAACTTTTCCTTTGTTTCTTCACTATTTTTTTCTTCCTTCCTTTGTTCCTTTCTCCTTTTCTTCCTTTCCTTTCTCAAATTCCCACTGTTACAGTTGGTGTTACAGCTGGAAAGATTATTGTGGTGAAAATGGGAAGAGAAACAAACAGGCAGGGAGGTGCCTGTAAGTGCCCAAATGAGACCACGGGGCCCAGGCTGCACTACAGTGACCAGGGGCAACAGCAACACTGAGGCATCGGGGTCAGTTTTCTTGGTATGGAATGCCAATGGGGCAGTCAAGGGATAACATTCTCAGTGGCACTGGAACTTTTATGTGAAAAAATGGTATGTAACTTGAAGAAAACAATGACAAAAAAGCAAGAGAGAGATTTAGCAGGTTTTGTTCTAATGTCCTAATCAAGGCTTAGCCATGTGTTATTAAGCAGATGCGGTTTGACGTTAGACTGTTCAGACATCAGGGATAATCAGGGCAGCAAAGTTCAAATTTTGCATGTGTGAAAAAGGAGGCCATGCAAAGGAAAAAGTTCCATTGCAGTCTCGTCAGTGTTTCAATTTATTTTCTCTGAAGCATTTGCAAATGAGAATTTTCCATATGACTTGAGAACCTCTGGCAGGGCTGTGATGGGAATGACCAACTGAGAACAGTAAACATGTTAACCCAGCTCATCATCATCAGCTGTCTAAATATAAAAATAATTAATTTGTTTTTGTACTTCAAGCTCTGTAAAAATGCAAATCCACAGGGGCCATCTGCACTTTAAAGCTATTTTGGATTAAGGTAGTGTGGGAATTTATACTCCCCAGGCTACTCTTCCATACTTAATGCACAGTTGACTTTTGCTCCAAGTAAGACAGATTTTCCTGACTTAATACATTTTCAAAGAGGGAGGGTACACACATGGAGTTACTCTGGAACAACTAACTGCCCATGCAGGCAGGCCCTAGCGGCTAACACTGAAGTAAATACGCTCATCACTCAAGCACACAGCCTACAAGCTCTTACTCACACACAGCTTTATGCAGATGAAGGCATATATCAGGTTTCGCAGGGTTGCTCGTGCACATGCCAAAACGTTTGCAGGACTGGGGCCCTGCTTTGAAGGAAGAGAGGTGTGCTGTGCCCCAGAGTACCACCTTAAAGGGAAGTACTAATCCCCAGACTGAATGCTAGTGCATCCCATCATCTCTCCCATCTCTCTGATATCATTCCAGTTGGCTCTCCTGCACTCACAGATAATTCACACATGTTCGATCATACTCTACAGCACCCCTTCCCCCCACAAAAAAAGTCAGCCAGCTGTTACAAAATTCAGACATTTCATTAACACAGTTTACTGCCTGATGGTGCCAAGCAAAATAGAGACAATTAATAACAATCAGGACAGAAGGGACTGAGACAGCTTATGAGTAAAATATTGTATGAGTTGTTTAAAAAGGACAAACTACCTCCTGCCTTGAGTGATAGGAAACAAAGGACGGTGATGTATAACCTCGGAGGAAAGAGACTCTCTCAATGTCTTTTGTAGATGACTGTGTGAATGACAGAAGCGGCAGGAGCAAATACCTCTTTTCATTTGCTCAGCCTGCTGGAGAAGAATAGCAGCGCTTGCCAACGAAGCTGCAGCTGTGCTTCAGCTCAGTTTAATCACCGTGTATGACTGAGGGTTAATTAGCTGCCATTCTCACTGCTATTTGTTGTTCTAATGAAGATTTGCATAAATGTAAGGCTAGGGGGTAACTGATACTTTATTCTTCTCTTCAGAGGGGCTAGGGGTGGAAAACTTACTCATCCCAAGTGTTTGTGTTTGTGGAAGACTCAGTGTTTCCTTTCCATCTGACCTGATCTACTTCTGACTGATGAATGGTGAACAAAGAGTTCAGAGTTGCTCATCAAATTGAGATCCCTGTTGGGCTGCTGCCTTTAAAAAGGGGTAGACCAGTGCGATGAAGAGAGGACTTGGTGATTAGAAAATCACTCCCAGCTGACAGAGAGCAAAATATATGCATATATATGTCTGTGTGTATCTCAGTGATATATAGAGATCAGTGATCCATCCATCCATCCATCCATCCATCCATCCATCCATCCATCCATCCATCCATCCATCCATCCATCCATCTTTTCATTCTTCCTATCCACTTACCTGCCTGCTTATCTACCTACCTATGTTTCAGCTAGATGGTATGATATGCTAATGATAAAATTTCATAAAAACAAGTGGGACAAACCAGAACAGGCTCTAGCATATTAGGCAATACACTGAAAAGTAAAAAGCCTTCTGTTGCACATCACTACAATTTGAAGTTCCTCTTTTTAATGTGAAAAATTATCTAACTTGAGGCAAGTAGTCTCAAAGGAAGGCAAAAATGACTCTGTTGTTCACAGATACTGTCATCAGCTCCTCACAGGAGGGGAACTCATAAGTAAAGAAATTACATTCACTCCTTACCCCTCCCTAGAAATAATGCAAATTTTAACACACAAATTTTAAGACACGGTAACAAAACCTACAACCACTTTGTATTTAAAGAGTGCATTTAAATTGAAAATGAAATGTCATAAAATTGCTTTATTTACTACAGTCATGATGATGTTTATGGCTACTAACTGAAAGAAACTGAAGAGTAACTACTGATTTTTACAATGTAAACATGCTACACATGATAATATCTTATGGGTAACAGTTTTCAGTGTTTATCTCAACTACGGGCTCTGTTAGCATTGCTGTTTGACAACATCTGTAAACTGGTCTAAGGGAAAGAAAATGACTGAGAGATCAGAGATAGTAAATTTCCAAGTTTCAAACCACTGGTTGGAACTGGCAAGCTTTCAAGCCACTGATTTGCTTCTATAAACAGGTGAGTACAACTGAATGCACATCTATTTTCAGTTTCTCACTCACAACATAGCTTTGCTATTAACTTCTGAAATGGTTGTATTTTCTAGCAGACAGCTACTGATTTTGCAGCAGTGTCTCAGCAGCTCTTTACCTGGTCTCTAAGACACCTGAGCAAATATCCATTTCCTATCTGTATGTCACCACTCCACCTGATTGCATACAGGCACCTCTGCACAGGTTGGGGTGGGCACTACAAGGAATCTGCCTTCTGTAGAGATATTCAGAGAGCATCCAGCACTCCAGAAGTAAATGTGCCTGAAATGGTACCACAGCGCTCCTCTACAGCTCCTCAACACCTCCAGCTCTCAGCTGGAAGGAACACTGCCGTTATTAATGCTACACACAGTAACGAACCCACATGGAAAAAGTGCAGCCAACTGCAATCGAAAGTTGACTTTCACCTTATCTGAAGCTCTGAAATAATTCAGACTTCTGTTATAGCATGTGACTCAGCCTGTGATTATACAATAATCTCACAGTCCACCCTTTGAAATGCACTTTTTTAGCCTTTTGGCTGGGGAGAAAAGTTTAGAAAAAGGAAACCTAAAGTTTTAAAACTTAGATAGTAATTAATCATAATATAGCAAAACTAAGCATACAATAAAAAAACAAACTCAAAAACAAACTCAAAAACATTAAGATACATAAACAGATCTCTTAATTTTTCTTTCAATGACTCTGTATGAATGTCTATATACTACAAATTTTGAAGGCTGCAATCAGAACCATTCATTGGCAAATTGGTTAAGAGAAAGTGGAAATTACAGATCTAGTGGTCAATTGCAGAAAACAAATCTAAAACAGCTAAGGGAATAGGTTAAGTGCTATGCGAGTTAATATGAATGACAGCTTGCTTTGACTGCTCATACAGCCTGTCCAGGATATTGAATAAACTTCATTTAAATTAATTTTCATTATTTGTAGATTCCGTGTTAGACATCCATCATTGTCGCTACTGTTCATATTCTTTTCAGAGACCATACTATCAGCATATTTAAGTGAAAGCTTTCTTTTTCAATATTTATTAACTCATTCATATTTCTTGGTATTAATGTCCTGGCTGTAATTCACAAATTAGTGCCTACTACAAAGTATTTTCCCCTTATTAAACTTTCTGAATTAATAGATTTTTATTCCCAACTACTAAAAATGCAAGGGATCTTAACACTGTGTTTTCTTTCTTTACTGTGCATCAGTTCTAATGAATTTGAAACTTAAATTTTGGTCCTTTTTTTTCAGAGCTGAAATAGAGTGCACCAGCCACATCCTAAATGCTGACAGACTATGAACTGCAAATGAATGCAAATGTATGAAAGTGAATTTGTCTTACCCGGGTTGCAGTCTGTGAGGAGGGAACAGATGGAGAGGAGAACTTTAGAAATGGTTAATGCTGGACTCCAGTTGTCTTTTAAAATGTCCAGGCAGATGACGCCTTGGCTGTTAATGTTACAGTGATAGATCCTTGTCCGGAACGTTACCTAGAAAAGACAGCGCGTTGCCTAAGTGCAGTGGTGTACAAGCCAATAGTTACATGATTATTAAGCAATAAAAAAATTGCACAAGAGACCATTCTGCTTTGTGGTTGAAATGTCAGTATTCTGTCGGTTCCCCTGCGGTGCTCAGGGTGAAGAGTTAGAAGAGAGTGGATTGGGAGAAAGTGTTTTCAGTCTGGTTTTAGTTCTCACTGCTCTCTTCTGTTAGTAATTGACAATAAATTATATTAAACTCCTCGAGTCTGTTTGGTCATGACAGTAATTGTTGAGCAATCTCCCTGCCCTTATCTCAACCTTTGAGCCCTTCCTCATCTCATTTTCTCCTCTTCCTTTAAGTAGAGGGAGTGAGAGAGCAGTTATGGTGAAGTCCAACTGCCCGTCAGGGTTGTTCTTGGCACCACTTGACAAGCTTAATTCAAGTTGGGCCTTGGCTTTCCTGACCCCATTCCTACACAGCCTAGCAGCTTCCTTGTACTTTTCCCATGGTATCTGTCCCTGTTTCCACTTTTCAGTACATAGCTGGAATAAAGTTTCTGCTTAATTACTTTTCCTGAAAAAAGTGCTTTTCTATGCTTCCATGAATAAAAATTTGAGCAGTAACTGGGTACACTGCATAATTATATGTACGTGGTCTCATCAAATGTGAGGGAAACCCACTGAGTCCATTGCACAGATTAAATTATACTTTCAAATTATTTCAAGATAAGGGTCAGTTGGAGCTTGTGACCTGCTTAGGAGAATGCCATCAATTTGAGCACATACTTTAATGTGCAACTGTTTTGTTGTCATTTTAGAGGACAGACAAGTTGCCACACATTCTATTTAAAGCAGCCAAGAAGGAACACTGTGAATCTGACAGGACTCAGAGAGCCACTTGGATGAATGGAGGTAGTTCTCATTTTATGTAAGCTGTTCAACTCCACTGCCATCTTAGGCTATTGGATTAATGTAGTCAGGATTACATATGTTTATAGTTGGAATGCTATTCTTCACAAATACTTTGATCTATTTTTTTTTCACTACATTTTAAACTCATGATACTGAGGAAGGCACCCACTCGCATGATAGGGATTGCTGCTTATCATTGACAAACAGGTCATCCACTCACCAAACATGTCAGTGCACTTGAAAATGACTACACAAATATACAGTGGCATTTTTACAACAGAAAAAATATTGAAGTTTTCAGCATCTCAAAAGACGCTGTATGAATGATGACTGTAACACATAGGGAAATGTGGATAGGGGGTGGGAGATGATGCTGCCCACAGGTGCTGTAAAGCTTGCCATGGCTGGCAGTGGCAAGTGTTGCCCAGGCCTCTTTGGCCATGGAGGAGAGACAACCCAGAAAAAGGAAATCCAAGTGTCAGATTCTGAATTGGCCCACAAATTTCCATGTCCTGTGGCAAACTGGGATATACCTGCCCTCTGCCTGCCTCCCCACCTAGGCTGTTTTGTGGAGGGATGCTGAGGGATGCTGGAGTTGGTGCAAGAAGAGGTGACTGCCCCGTGTAACTCCTCAGCTGCTGAGGAAGCCTGCAGGAAAACCATCATCTTCTTTCACCTTGCTAGCTCTGGCCTGGTGGTAGTTATACAGTCCTAAATCTGTTGAAAAGGACAAGCTGAGCAGCCCCATCCCATTTTCATATGCCAAAGAAGCAAAAGTAAGATGCAGGATAGCTGAGATAACATATTGCTTTCCTCATCCAGACATTGCCTCAAATTGCATCTAATGTGGGAAACGCTGACGTGTAGCTTTCTGGATGCTGTGTAGTTTGCCATATACATTTTAAAGTTATGCAAGGTCATCTCTGTTATGTATGTAGCGAGAAGTCAAGTGATAACATCATTCCAGGTTAGCTCCATTTTCTTTAATATGGCCATATTTTAACCTTTGATGCCACTTAAATGGTTCCTATAAAGGATGCATTCTAATTCCATTTACCCCCTAATGAAAACACCTAAACAATCCCATTCAGAGACTCAAGGGAGCGTGTGGGTGTATAGTAGGAGTTATTCTCAGACAATTGAATGGTAGAGGAGCAATTTATCTTTTTTTGAAAGGTAAGTGCTCTCTGTGGATTTACTCTCTTTGGTTCTGCAGTTTTTAGAGGATATCTCATTTTTTTTGAATAAAAGTTCAGGTCAGAGAAATGTGAATTATGGGAAATAATGAAAAATAGAGCTATCTTCTGAAAATTGTAAAAGTACTATAAAGAAGCTTTTGAAGGGTAATGATAAGGAATTTATATTCAGTTATGGAAGAAAATAACAACAAACTCATCTGTTTACCTACTGGTGAATGCCAAAACCATCTGAGTATTGTAAAACAGAATTATACAAATATAAAAAAATACAAAAAACAACCCTGTGTATAGACTCTAGGAAGAAAATGAGGTTATTTTTCTAAAGGAGGGAGAGAAAATGATTACAGAGAAAAAAAGTACATGTAAAGCTATGACTAGCTTTTCACTGAATATAAGTTTTAGGACAGAAGGATGTTTACAAAACTGAGGAAGGGCAAAGTAAAATGGAATGCAGTTGAGTGACTGGAGACAACTGATTGCATGCAGGACAAATTACTCCTGGATTTCAGAGTAATTTTGATCACTGGTTTTCCAACATGATCTAGTCTCAGAATCCCTCACTACCTCAGTTTTGCACCTAATGTTCATATATTAGGGTCTAAATCCAAGAAGCCATCATGCCACCTGCAGCCATGAGGGTGACCAGCTTAACCTTTAGTGAGACTCAGAGGGAGGCATAGTAAAAGCACTGCAGCTCTGAAAGGGACGATTCCACAAACACACCTCATGCACTTTCAACCACACTGAATCTGTAGTTCCACATTGTATCTAGAGGAAGAAATGGTCCTCCATTTTTGTGTATCAGCAAATAAGGAATTACAACGTGCACTCAGGAACTGCATTATTTAGCCTGTTTGGATTCAACTCCTATCCCCTGTTCTTCATTCCTCTCACTGAAGCTGAGCGACTGAGCAGGGGAAGATTCAGAGTCCACAGGAGAATAAATGGAAACAAAACTCTTTTGCTCGGCCAACACTCAAATCAGGATTGAGATCCCAGGGCTCTCATTCCTGCAGTTTTACAAAATTTCCTTTCAAGCTCTTTCATTTCTTACAAGGGTGCAATCCTGCAGTCCTTCTCTAGATGAAACTTCTGTCTTTTTCTAATATTCCCCAGGAGTTCTGTTTTAATAAAACTGTAGTGGCACTACCTGAAGTGGAAGAAGTTGTACTGCATACAGAAAAGGTTATATATATATTAAAAAATACGATGCCCTTTATGATGATGTTCATGGAGCTCAGGAGGGAGTAAGAATTCTCATGTCGGTTTGTCAGAGTTTATGAGCAATAGATTTGTCTGTTCAAACAGAAAGAATAATAAAAAACAAGAACAGGCCTACACTCTTTAGTCATTTTAGAAAAACACTGTAAAGCAACCTAAGTGAACGTTAGTTACAGCTATGAGGAACACAATATCCATGTAATAACCTTTGTATTAATTAGCATCCTTAAATTTCTGACTGGGTGCACTTCATTTTATCTGTGCCAAGCACTGAGGCTGCCTTTCTATGACAGGATGATCCATCTCTGCTTTGCAGCTACAGATTAGTAGCATGCACACAAGCAATTGTTGGGATACTTAATGGATTATCACATCAAGTGCATAATAAATGACTGACCTCATGATGCTCACTGTTTAAAGGGCGAGGTTTAAATATACGCCAAGAGATGAACTTCAGACAGTTCTTACAAAACTTTAGTTGGCAAAAAATAGCCACGGTTTAATACATCAAAGGAAAACATATGCAATCATCTCTAGCAGGAAATATTAACTCATAATTACTTTTGTTTGACCTACAGAAAAGTCTGATATGCAAACTATTCTTCGTTTGCTGCAACAAAATGCATTGTGTGAGACACAGCAAAGAAGTGATCATGATTTAAAAGGCATGTAATAGTATTCATATGAGGGAATTTTTAGCATTTTTGAAAATGAAACAGTATGCAATGTGAGTAATTATTCATTATATTCACGGTAATTATGAAGCTGAGTAACTACTCACCCCATCTCAGGAAAAAATATCAATATGAATAAGCACAGCAATGCTAAATGTGTGCTCTATAGAAATATACTTAGTTTACACAAACATAATAGCAGAAAACACGAAGGGGGATTTACATAATCTCTGATGTACCCAAGAGGGCAAGTAAAAAAATTTCCTAAACTGAACAGCTTTCTGAAAGCAAAAGAACAGCGTGAGAGAAAAAAAGGAAATGGAAAATTGTCCAGGTTAGAGAGGTTCAGAATTGAAACAGTATTGTAAGACACAAAATGTCAAAAGCATTATCTGACAAAGTCAGTGTGAGTTTTATTAAAATGATTTTCGTTTAATCAGTATAATCTTTACTATATTTAGTAACTACATATGGAAATTCAGTAATAAAGTCTGTTTATAGGCAGCAACACTTTTAAGGACTTACTGCCTTTTAATTTTTACAAAGCAAATCCTCCCTTACATAGAATAAAACACATAGGCTGTATTGTCCCAGACACACTTCCTCCCTGAGCTCCCCAAGTGCTCCTTTCCCTCAGAACTGACTTAATTCTGCACCTTTACAGTTTGTTCGTCTTCTTTAGTAAAAATATAGATAAAACTCCCTTTCACATCTGTATACATGCATCTCAACGCATAAAAAAGGACAAGAAAGAGCAATGATGTAAGATGTACTTTCAGCTCACAAGCAGATTTTATGCAATAGTGAGAACATGTGCAATGTGACACGATTACATAGCTCCCAAAGTATCCAATAGCCATCCCAGGTCCCCTTTTGAAAGTGAGTTTGACAGGCAACATGCAAACCATTGCTGTGAGGTAGAAGACAAACCCACAAAATATCTCTGCAGGTACCTGGTATACTGAGCATTTGTAGGAAATAGGAAGAAATTATGAACTTTCTA